ACTATAAAAAGGGTCACACTCAAAACACCTCCCTGAGGAACGCCGTTTTCCTGGCAGAACTCTCTAGAGTAAGTAGTGCCCAATTTAACACGGAAGGTACGCATCCCTAGATCGCTCTTGACGAATGCTAGCATTCTACCACGAATGCCAAAACTATACAGGTCCTGCAGGATGCCATGACGCCATGACTTTTCCAAGTCAAAGAAAACAGACAGGCAGTACTGCTTTTTTACAAAGGCCTCACGAATAGTAGTCTCCAGACGAACTAAATGATCTATTGTAGACCGTGACGAACGAAACCCACACTGGTATTTGTCAAGGATATTTTCTTTTTCCAAAAAAATACATGAGTCGTTTGTTAAGCACTCTCTCCAGAGTCTTACTAAGACAGCTTGTTAGCGCTATTGGGCAATAACTAGTCACGCACGATGCATCTTTTGAAGGCTTTAGCAAAGGGATAACAGTGGCCACTCTCCATGAGGATGGAAACAGCTCGGAGCACGTGGAGCGAAAGCTCGCGCTGCAGAACCCAGGGATCCTGGGTTCGAGCCCCACCCCTGCCCGTTTCGATCTGGATGAGCATCGTACCGGCGTGCGGTCGTATATCACTACTGCGTGATGCACGTTAAAGACCCCAGGCTAGCGGCTGTACCGCACTGGCTAAATTGCTCATCTACAGCTGGGAGACTCGTCGCCCCTGTGAGGCAGACCAAGTTCTAGGCTGTATAAACACACACACAACCCAATTTTTTTTTGAGGATGGAAATGTGCTCGCTTGCCAAATGCGATTAAACAAATACAGGACTATGTCAAGTGTAGAGGGGTGAAGATGTGTAAGCATCTAATAATGAATTCCATCTGGTCCGGCAGCCGTAGGTTTGACTTCATGCAGCACCCGTTCCAGCTCACTCAGCGTAAGGCGCGAGTTGTAAGCTTCTCGAGCACCCCCGGATGTTCGAACAGACTGCAGCTCTGCCTGAGTCTTGTGTTTCAGAAAAGCAGCTGAAGAGTGCTCGGAAGTAGAAACACGTTGAAAGTGTTCCCCAAGGAGATCTGACTGCTGTTCAAGGCTCTCGGGGCACAGTCCATTACTGAGAAAGCACGGTAGTTCCCATTGACTTTATGAATTTTATCCCACACTTTTTTGCTAGTGGCAGTGCTGTTAATCGAGGATGCATATCCTTGGAAGCTTTGACGTTTAGACTGGCGGCGTATGTATCTCGCACGAGCCTTCATTTGTTTAATTTGATTTGGTTAGTTTGCGTTGGGTAACGTTTAAAATGCCCCCAGGCTCTGTTTTACTTTCTTTTCGATTTTTCACAGTCGGCATTCCACCATGGTTTAGGACGATGGGGTAGGTGAGACGAGGTCATGGGGATAGCTATCATTGCAGCATGAAGAATGTGACTGCTAAGCAGACTGGTGATTTGATTGACAGACAGATTGTCAATTGATGTGCAAACGAGCTGAGTAGCCTCACTGAAAGTGCCCCAGTTTGCCTCTTTGAACTTCCAAAGGGGTGTTCGTGTGGATAGTGTAGCGGATGGATTGATGCGGTTTAAAATTATGGGAAAATGGTCGCTTCCATATGGGTTGGGATGAACAGCTTATGAAAAGAGGGGGAATAATGTTGGGTCACTTAGTGACAGATCAATGGATGTGAACGAACGGGTTGGAGCGCTGAAATATGTAGGCTCTAGTTTGTTTCACAGGCATAAAGCAGTAGAAGAAAGAAAACCCTCAATCATCGAGCCACGTGTGTCACGTCGTCCACTGCCCCACATAGGGTTATGAGCATTGAAATCTCCTAGGATTAGAGCTGGTTGGGGGAGTTCGTCATAAAGAGATTCTAGCTCTCTGAGAGATAAGGTGTAGCTTGGAGGAATATACACAAAACAAACAGTTATCAGTCGATCAGAAGATATGCGAACTGCCACAGCCTCTAATGTGGTATTAAGAGGTACCTCGACGCAAGGGGTAGACTTTGCAACAATTATAGCTACACCACCAGAGGTGTGGGATGAATGGAGACGGTCCCTACGAAAAACCTGGAAGCGCGTTAGGATGTTAGTATGATTATTGTTCAAATGAGTCTCCTGAAGGCAAAACGCTAGTGGGTGATGAAGATCTAGTTGAGAGTAAACATCGTCATCACTTGTGAACGTGTTGTTTCTGTGGTTTAGTGAGCTTCGCGACATCCTCGAGAAGGAGCCCCAGATTTCACCAACTGTGTTTTTGGCGCCGGAAAGAGTGGTTGACAAGGAAGGAGAGACCAATTAAGTACTTAAAAAACGTTTCATAAACCTAACAATAAAAAAAAAAAGTGTTTCAGCACCGAAGTTGAAACCTCCCCAGTGACAGAGGCAGGACCCTCCTCCCTTGCCTCAGGGCTGGCTCCGCCCTCAAACCAGCGTGCTCCGGCCGGCACACCGAGCAAGAGAAAGAGAGAAACCGCCCTGGGCTCGCTGCTCAAGGTGTTCGCCGAGGTGGAGGAGAGTCGCATGCAGCGACACAAGGACCGGATGGCTCTTCTAGAGCGCCTCGTGACTGCCATCGAAAAGAGCGCGCCAGTAGAGTAGACGTGCCTCATGCACTTCACTGTACTTGGCTACAGTTTGACTGTTTCGCAGGCCGTTTTATTATTTCGACTGGTGCACAATTGTGCCGTACGAATAAATTTGTTGAAATTGTCTTGCTGATTTTGTTTGCCACTCCTCTGTAGTTCCCTGATTCATTCTTAGTTTTTAAAATTATTTCCGAGTTTTGCAGTACGTATTTTTTACCGCCATATCTAGGTTGTTTTCTGAAGTTTTGTTGATTGTTAGGCTGAAAATAGCTTGGAGAAAAATGTTAGGTTTTAGGAGTCAATGGCACTGACTACCTGTGCATGCCCACATATATGTCTTCTGCGATACGAATGTGGTAAGATATTGGATCAAAATAATTCTGTACGCAGAAATGAAAGAACGAAGTAACCCGTTACTTTGTTTAATCGTGTTTTCATGAAGTCAGCACGTTTCATTTTCCAAAGCTCAAGTACCATCTTCGTATGTTCATAAACAAACACACACACACACACACACACAAAAAAAAATATAATAATATTTTTGGAGGAGCAGGTGTAGATATCGCTTCCCAACATTCGGTCTTAGTAATGGCCTCTCGTATTCGCTCGGAGAGACTCCTTGTGGCGTCGTCCGGTTGGATCGCGTGGTCGTCGTCGTTGATGACTTGGTCAGGCGGGCGGGCGTTGTTCAGGTCATCGAAAAAGTCTCTCTCTGCATTACATAGGTCGTGGATAACGCAGGCGCCCATAACGACAAGGCAGCACTGTCTGATGCTGGCGCTGTCGACCAAGTACATTTTCTGAAATCGCTGCTTGAGCAACCCGAACGTTTTTTTTTCGATTGTCACTCTCTGTTGACCGTGCTTCACGTTATACGTAGTCTTCTAGGTCGGCAGGGCCGCTTTTGAAGACTTGAAGGGGGTCATGACGTATGGCAGCAGGGAATAAGCCGAATCCCCCAGCAGGTACCCACCCGCATACTTGGCTTTTGCGTCCTCGAAGACGGGCCTCTCCTTCAGGATGCGGGCGTCGTGCGCTGAACTGGGGAACCCGATGTAGACGTCGATAAATCAATTTTGATCATCGGAAATTCCTTGCAGAACAATGGAATGAAACTTACTCCGATTGTAGTAGGAGTTCGGAGACTCCGTTGGTCGCAGGATTTCTACATGGCATCCATCAATTGTCCCGATCGTTTTGTGGGGCCCTTTCCCCCTTAGTCTTCCTCGGGAAGCCGGCTTGGCTCTTCCGACGTCTTTCCTGGTCAGGCCAGGTGATTATTTGCGCGCTAATACCTTTCAGAAAGTTCAGCACTCTTTCATTGCAGAAGTGAACGGACGACTCCGTTATGTCAAAGCGATCCGCAATCTGGTACATTGTTGCTCTCGTGCCTAAGTAACTAAGCACAATCAGCAACGTCTTCTCCGCCTAAATCTGCGGTCGTCCACCAACGAAATCCGGGTAAGACGCCAAAGCTTTATAGGGACCAGCCAGCTCCGCGTGTGTCTCTCTTAAAAGCCTGAACAAGCGCATAAATTCGAAATCAAAGTAGGTGTCGATCACCTTTTCGTAGTACAGGGGAACCCTGTTCCTGTCAGTCCGTGCCGAAACAATCGAGGCAAGGGCAATAATGCCGTCGAGCTCATCGTCGCTCTCGTCTCCGATGAGCGCTACTGCAGCCGCCAGTAAATTCTGACGGGACATCGTCATCTTGATCTCGCGAAGGTATCCAGGTGCGTGGTCGATGAAATGTCTATGAAAGCGGTTGCAGCACGAAATCAGACCATATAAAATGCAGACGTGTTTCATTGGATGCTGCACGCACTTTGTAATGCAATGTAAAGAAACATACATGCAAAATTTTTTTGTCTGAGAAAGTAATATAAAAATAACGCAAATGATCTTATCCAAGCGCTAACAGACAAAATTCCATGGCGACACAGCCAGACGGCAAAAGCAGACGACGCCTTGCGCATCCGTTTTATCGGTACTCCGGGAGTCGATCACAGCGCCAGTCCTAACGCGGTGGCTGCACTGGTTCTTCGCCGCCGCTGCACGACTCCTGCACTTCTCTGAACTCGAATAGAACTAGTTCAGAACTTTGTAGCCGAATCGAACAGACCTATTATCTTAATAACCCCTACGAAGAAAAAAAAAGCGTGCAATTGTACTGGATCTTTATAGAACCGCGTTCGCAACCACTTTGCGAACGCGGATTCGCTTCCAGTGTGAATGAGCGGGTAGCCTGGTAGCCCTGTTGTAGATTGCTGGGGCAGACAAACCATGAATGTAATATTTGGCTCCACGATGAGGTCATCAAACAATTTGCGAGAGCCGCAGATGGGGACTTTCAGTGGGCCTCGTCTTTTTATGGCGAACGTCACAATCTTGATAGCGTTTGTTATACGTCACGCGCGGCACTTGACCAATCGCCACACATCTCGCTGATCAGCTAGCCGATGGAGGTGTTAGCCCCAGATGTCTATTGTACCGCGGCAACTAACGTACAACGCTGATAGTAATATATTCCCATGAACAGCAAAAAAGAAACTGCCACAAGCTTGCCGCTTCAGCAGCGAAAACAATCCGTACAGAACTACGGAGGTAAGTTGTGCTGCAATGTTGGACGAATGTCCGTCTTGATCGGACGAAGGCAACGTAATAATTTGAGAGGACCTATGGTGGGAGAATGTAGAGTAGAGCACTGGCACGGGGGGCTCGGGCCTGCCCGAAAGCCCGAGCCCTGACCGACCTGCGGGCCGGGCCCGGGTTGTGAAGCGCATGTATCTCTCAAGCCCGGGCCGGGCTCAGCCCGCAAACCGGGGCCAGTCAAGCCAACCAATCCGACTCGGGCGTGGAAACGTTTTAAAATATTCAAAACACTACTCGGCCCTCTCTTATATCGCCCCTGTCAGGTTGGGGAGGAAAACTCATACGGGGTCACATCTGCAAAACTGGTGGCATGGGCCATGCTTGTAATCAAATTTTAAAAACCTGACGGGCCTGAGCCGGGTTCGGGCTCACATTTTAATACCCTTTGGAGTTCGGGCCGGGTTCGGGCCGTCTACCCACATGACCGGGTCGGCGGGACCTGTGAATTCCGGCCCGTGCAGTGTTCTAGTGTAGAGTTCGTTGCGTGCTGTTCATTCTAGCTGTTATTTACCAGAACGACCACCCGGAAATGCAATGGTTTCTAACTATTGAGAGGTTTTCAACACTTAGACAAACGTGTTCTTATTCACTGACGACCAAACGATCATCGGAATGCGTTTTAATTCCCACAATCCTGTCTATATTTCGAATAGTTATAATTTTAGATTGTTGAAATTGTGCGTGTTCTGAGGTATTGCTAATATATTGGCAAAGAATGCCGCTGCCCGTGTGTTTTGGGGCGCACCATACTTCAAAACGGTAAGGAAATTATTGGCACTGTGGAACCCAGGGATATCCGGCTCGATCTCTGCACGTGCCCCTTTCAATCTCGATGAGCATCGTACCGGCCTATGGTCTTGTAACACTACTGTGTGATGCTTGTAAGATACCACAGGCTAGGTTTCCCAGTGTACCGGCTAAATATTTCGCCTACAGCGCTAACCCTGCCACAATGAATGGCAGCCCGACCTCACGGCTGTGGTGTAGTGCCTGAATTGTTTTGGTTTGTTTTGAAAGCTTGTCTATCTGAAAAAGAAAAAATTACGAGGCTTTCGATGAGATAAAAAAAACTATATCCGTAGTTTTTAGTTATTTAATATACCATGATTTTTTTTTTTTTTTCAGACGAACATGCCGTGGGAGATAGCGTGCCAGCCCGAACCATGAAAGAATACACTTTTTTTTTTTTGCTCAATGTGAGGATGCTAAAATTCACATTAACTTATTTTCCTAAGGTTTTGTTTCCCTTTCACAGCTCCGTGTTGAATCGAACAACCTGTTCTGAACCAAAGCCAACGCCATAATCAAGCTCATGGGCCTCGAGTCTACTCAATCTGCCCAGCATCATCGCCAAAAATCCAAGCGATGGAAACTCCACCTGTATCTCAAATAATAATCTACCATACACAGTTCAGGTTTGCACTCCTCCACTAGAGAAACCTCAAGTCGAAGGGAGATGGATAGTTTCGGTTGAGCATTTCATTACCCAGATCCGTAAACTTGAACGCCATGATTGCCCGAAGGATACGCGTGACACATTTTTATTTGTACATGAGCGATGGCAGGCCTTATGCTCTTGGTTTACGTTCATGTGCACGCACTGCAATGAAGAACGGGTCATTTAAAATAAGCACTCGAAGTAAACCAACATCAACGAGGCAGCTACAATGGGCACGTTATGCACTGGAAATGGGTTCAGCTAATTATAAGAAATATTCTCTCTCCTGAACATTCCTTGCATGCCACTGACAACATTCAGCAAATATGAAGAGAGCGTAAGGCTGAAGTGAGAAGACATTTTGCTTTATGAAATGGTCACGGTTGGAAAAGAAGAGCACAGAATGGCGAGCGAATCCAGAGACTACACTGGGGATGGATTGCCGTACATAACTGTCGTCGTCGATGCTGGATGGGCCCACCGCAGTTAGGGCCACCGATGCACGTCAAAGTCAGGTGTTGCTGTCATCATTGACTCACGAACAAATAAAATCCTTTCCCTTTTTGTTTGTAACAAGTATTGCAGTACTTGCAGTTTATTCATGACCAAGAACGAGACTCCACGCAATCGCGCCTGCTTCAAAAACTGGGAGGGACCTTTAACTGCAATAGAGTCTGATATCATCGCCGAAGGATTCCGGAAGAGCCGCGAGATGCATGGTTTAGAATACAGAAGAGTTGTGGGGATGAAGCTTCCGATGTCGAACAAGCCTTCACAATCAGTGATGATTATGGAAGGATGATAACAAAGGTGGCTTGCATTAGCCATCTCATTAAGAACTACACCAAGTCACACTACGGCATTAGAGGCTTAGGAGAAAGTCACGCAAAGCATTTGACAAATGTTAAAATTGAAAGATTGACAGCCGCGGCAAAGGGAACTATTCTGCAACCCATGCGCTCAAGCAGACAACTCAAGAGCTCTCGAGCCATCTGCGAAATGGACCAAGACATGTATTTGGAACGCATTACAACTGCTCCCCTCATTACTGTCAACTGCATCAGCAGCAAGCATCAACCACATTTAAAAATCTACCGTACACGCTACAAAGAGGCTTGATGAGGACTGCAAATAATCTCGCCGACAAAACTTCTTCGCTTACTGAGAACTCTACCAGTAATTTGGCGGAAAACTACATGTCTGTGGTATCCAAATTTTCTGGCGAAAAGCCCGTAAATCGTGAGCGAAGAAGGCCGTACCAAAGACGGTGTGTCGGAGCAGAAGTTTCGTACAACGGTGGGATAGTGTGGATGGCGTCCTCTTCCGCCTTTCTACTTGAAACTGTACCTTCTAAAAGTCAAGAAAAAATGTCTGGCCGCTGCATCATCCAAGGCGCCTGGCTTAACTCCTCGCTGGTAGTTCAAGGGGAACACGCTACATGGGGACATATGTTACGGATCTAATGCTGAACAGCCTCAACGAAATCTTGCTGATCAAGCAAATGTAAAAAAAGAAACTAAAAAAACTTTCCATGTTTCAACTCACCGGCCCTAAACAACATGAGCTCAAGACAGCAACGGTCGGGCAGTCTTTGAATGAAAGGTGGGCTCTCAAAAGAAGAAATTGGCTGACAGCGTACATGTTTGGGAAGGTTTGCAAGCGCTTACCAACGACGCTCTGCGGCAAACTGGTCCATCGCCTTCTCTACGCGTCACCTGTTCTGACACCCGCCAATCAGAGTGGTCAATAAAATTTGCTCAAAGGAATTCGGGAGTACGAGCAAAAATCTAACAACGTCGTAGAAAGATGCGGTTTGTTTGTGGACAAAGAACATGGATATCTTGCGGCTTCTACCGACGCCTTGATTGGAAATGGCGGACTCATTGAAGTAAGTGTCTCGACAGCAACAAGACAGGCTTGGATTGTCGAAAACCCCCAAAATATTTCTGCCTTCATTCTTAACCAGACTCAAAAACTGTGCCTTAAGAAGCGACACAATTTTGTTTTACCAGATTCAAGGACAACTTAATATTTCGAAGAGTAGGTGCTGCGTTCTCATTCTATGGACGTCAGGTGACACCCATATAGAAGTTGTCCAGCGTGATCTGAAATTCTGGAATTAACACATGCTTCCACGCCCGTGGCGGCGTCCCTTTTTAATCGAAAAGCTACCGATGCTTTGCGAAACATACGGGCGTATGCGCCTGCCTTCAGATGACACATAGAATTCCTTGGCTAAGGACAAATTACTGTGCACAACAATTGGCATTTGTAATACCTGATATACTAATCAAACATCCAAATATTCAAGATATTATTCCAAACTCTGGGTCTAGTCACTGGTATTACTATTTATTCAAAAAGTACCTTCTATTATGTGCAACGAAATACATATTTGAACTTATATCTGTAATAAATTTTAACACTTTTTTGTATGCCTCTTATTATATCGGCTTTCTAAACTTTTAAAACAGGAGGTAAAAAATGAAAGCCGTTTACAAATCCCTGTAACGCCGAATTGGAGCGCAGCTCTTGAGGAGGAGCAGGGAAGGGTACTGAGGGGGGTCACGTCACCTGCGGGTAGTCCCGTGACCTCGGGGGGGGGGGGGGGGGGGGTCACGTGATCTCGGGGGGGGGGGGGGGGGGGTCACGTGATCTTGGGGGGGGGGTCACGTGATCTCGGGGGGGTCACATGACTTCGGGGGGGGGGGGGGGGGTCACGTGACCCCCTCCCCGGTTATGCCGACGCCGCTCAGGCTGGAAACGGGCCCCTAAGAGCTGCGCTCTAAAACTAAATCATCGTTTTTAAAAGGACTAGCTAACTTACAAAGTAATACTACCACCTACACAACGCGCCATGGTGAGCCTTGGAATGTTAGCACTTATAGAACACTCTATGGGCAAGATACGTTGAAAAACAAACTGCCAGGGTTACTAAATAGATTATACTGCCGAAAATGTCGAGCTTTTAGATATTACGTTTAAAGCATTGCGTTCTTATTTCAGCCCCCAGTCGACTTTTCTTATGTAAAAAATGCTGTGTAATATTATTAAACGTGAAACTAGTTGTGCATGTAGGTGACCCTGTTTTTTTGTGTTTTCTTTTCTTGATAATGCCTTTTAAGATATCCTACAATTGCGTGGTTGTGACGTAATTTGAGTGTGTCTATTGTTGCTTCTCTTTATTATCTTTATTTTGCTTTTTCTGTTAATGCTGTAATCTGTATGGTATGCTGATTATTTTCTTTTTAGTGCTGCAAATGCCAATGTGGGGGCCTGTGGCTTTGTCAAGCTGGTCTTGTGACCGCTTTTTCCACAAGCCTCCAGTATCATGTACGCTGTATTTGATGCAAATAAAATCAACAACAACGATTCTATCGTTTAGAAACGCCTTCTCTATGCCATATATTTAACTACCTTAATATTATTGTAACTACTGTAGAAACATTTGTACTTTTCCTTTCCTATTCACTATTTATTGTTTCTGATTAGTGTTTGTTTTTTTGTGGTGTGCTGAGCATCGTCAACCGGTAACGGGGCCACATTAGGCAGAGCATATCTGCCTTTTGCTTTTGCCCTGTTATCGAAGACTGTAAAGTCTAAATAAACAATTAAACAAACAAACATGCAGCGTCACGCTTGTTGTTCTGATATCTCAAGCCCAAGCCACGCGCAAGCCTTTAAGCGTCTGACACCCATACCTATGGAATTATTTCGGTCTTTCATATTGCGCTCCAAACGGTGAACGTCCACAAACAGGATTAAAAACCATTCCTCATCATCTGGCGTCATTGGTGTTTGCTATCACGAAACTGTGGCGTGTCGTAACTCAATGGGAAAAGTTTGATGCCCTACAATGAAGTAAGCGTGCAAACCGTCGATATGTAATTTTCGTCAGATGCAATATCAGGAAACGTTCCGCACTTTGATGTCTCAAAGTTTGCTTTCGTTCACACATATACGTTTGTATAACGCAGAAAAGTAATGCTCGTTTTAACTTTCATTTTTATATTGGAACTTGAAGAGCTTATTTATTTAAACATATCATTTTTGTGATTGCATTGTATAGTCTAGGCATATAAGGTTTCGTATGAATTGGATAACTGTAGCTCGAGAAAATAAATGTTACAATTTGAAAGTGAGGTCCACTGAAATATAAATGAAAAGAAGGCTGCTAAAGATAACCATATTTTCTAAACATTTTGTTGTTAATTGATGGCAGGTCTTTAATTCGGACTAAGGGATATACTTCTACGCAGCGTACACAGAAAGTTTAAGGCTCTCAAATGTCAGCATATTGACATGATCGATGGGGTTGCACCTTTAATTACCGCCCTATTTCATTGACTTCCTTTTCTCGTAAAATTCTAGAACACACCTTGTACACGTCTATTATTAAACATATGGATGCTCATTTATTGTTGAATCCGAAATAACAGGGTTTCCGGAGTGGGTTATCTTGCGTCGCGCAGTTGCCCTAGTTTGCTCACGATTTGTCTGTCAGCTGTGTTTTCTTGGAATTCAGTAAAGCGTTTGATGTTGTACCTCGTAAGTTATTGCTAGACATGTTATCGCATTATAATTTTAATAATCAAGTTATCTCCTTGATTTCCGAATATTGGCTCAAAAGATGCCCAGTGTCTTGTAGTAAATAAAAGTAAATCAAGAATTGCACAACCCCACTGAAAATAAGTCTAAAGGGCCCATCAAAACGTTTTGATGGGTTTGATGTACCTTTAAGAAAGTCTAAAGGGCCCGTCAAAACCTTTTGAAATGTCTAAGGGGGTACTACAAAGATTTCTTAAAAGGTTTAAAGGACCCTTTAAGATTCCTTGATGCGTTCTGGGCCACGTCAGAATCTTTCTGGAAGGGTTGTCATGCTGTAAGCTGTTGAAGAAGTAGAGGTGGAAGAAGAGCGGAGAGGCTCAAGCTGGAAGAGCTCGCGGCAAGGACTATTTGGCTGCGATCCGAACAAGCGACCGGCTGTGCTTGGCGATGCTCCGAGCAGGCACCGACGGGCTGAACCACAGTTTCGACGGTGAGCTGACCAATTCCTGAAGCGACGGACCTCGACGGTGAGCTGACCAATTCCCGAGGCGACGAACTTCGACGGTGAGCTGACCAAGTCCCGAAGCGACGGACTTCGACGGTGAACTGACCGATTCCCGGGGCGACGAACTTCGACGGTGAGCTGACCAATTCCCGAAGCGACGGACTTCGACAGTGAACTGACCAGGTACGGAAGTGACGACCTTCGAATATCGACCAAGAACCTGAAGGCTGAGGTCAACTTCAAACCTATTGTCAACGGGACTGATTGTGAGATGGACCGCTTTATTGCAACTGTACATTTGTAATTAGTCGTGCTCTCTGATAAGGAGCGGCAATGCTTAAAGCGAAAAGGGCAAATCAGTGACAATCTTGTATTGAACACGTGATATGTATTTATTTTTTCCTTCATTTATTTGGTATGGCATGTGTGCTATTTATATTGAACGCTAACATAAATCTTTAGATGAGAGTCAGTGTTGTGTCTTGTCGGTGACTTATCACTTTGTCCTTGTCTTTGCACTGTTTTGTTTTCAACTCTGTCTGTATACCAAATAGCCCGAACTTCTGTGATAATCACTTCAATGTCCCTTTAATGGTAATTAATTTATGTAATACAGCAGTCATGATTATTTTAACAGAGCTTGGTAACCAATGTCCAGGTCGTGAATATTGATTGAAGATAATTTAGTGTTCTGTGCTTTGCATGTTAACTTGTTTTTAGTGAGATTCCAGAATGACAAACTAGGTTTATATGGTTTTTAATGAGATGGTGCCATCGTAAAGTGTGATATCCTTTATTTTAGTTAACCAATGCTGAATGATGCCTTCTCATTGCAGCATAGTAGTGAATATGCTAAAAATAGTGTGTTTCTGAACATGTGGCACTGAACCCAAACAGAAATTTAAACTATAGGAGTTCCGAGTTCTTACCTACATTATAATTAGCTAGGTCATCGTCGTGCAGCATCTGCCACTAAATCTCTGTGTTTATCTCGACTTGCTGTAACAATTCGTTAGAATGTGATCACGTTTTATGCTGTGTGACCTACAACTTAAGTACAAATGTTTGTTTTGTGTATAACATTCATATGAAATTTTGCTTTCATCCTACGTTTAAATCTTGTCTTTTTCAATTGTTTGAAATCATCTGGGCCTGCCATGCAGCTTGTTTAAAGCTGTATTCCTGGCTCGAGAGGTTTGTGAACACCTATACTCCATTTCATATTTGGTACGCAATGCTGTCAAGGCTACTGGCACGAGCATGTGACTATATGATGAGCTTTGTGCACGCCTTTGCACTTGATGAAGCCACGTGCGCGTGTTAGTAGCCTTGACAGTGTTTTACACCAATTAAGAAACGGAGTATAGAGAATTCAATTTCTTAGGGGCTAATGGGTCTAAAGGCTTGATAGGTCTAAAGGGTTGGTGGATCTAAAGGGTTTATGGGTCTAAAGGGTTTGTGGGTCTAAAGGGGTTATGGGTCTAAAGGGTTGACGGGTCTAAAGGGTTGACGGGTCTAAAGGGCTGACGGGTCTAAAGGGTTGACGGGTCTAAAGGGTTTGAAGGGTTAAGAGGGTTCCATAACACACCAAGGCTGATGGGTTATTTTCAATAGGGAAGTAACATCAGGAGTCCCACAGGGGTTGGTATTAGGACCTTTATTATTTTTAATTTATGTAAACGATGTTTATGAGCCCGTCACTTCATGCATGAGAAAGTTCGCAGGCGATTGCCTATTATATAGCGAAGTAACATATTGTAGGGACAATTTCATTATTCAAAGTGATCTAGATATTATAAATATATGTTGCGAAATATGGTGAATGAAGTTGAACCCAGATAACCGTGTGCGTGACTTTTCCTGGAAAACAGACAACCGCCAGTTCTTGTTACGATATCAAGAACAGTCGTTCAAGAACGGTTCAGATTACAAGTGTTTAGGTGTCTACCTCACACCCTCGTTGAGCTGGCATTGGCATGTAGATTATATATACCACAGCAAAAGCTTCCAAATCCTTGGGCTTCTTGTCAGTGGCGTCACAAGGGGGGAGCGGGGGGGGGGGGCGGTTCGCCCTGGGTGCAGCGCTTCGGGGGGTGCTGCGACGAGCCGGGGGGGGGGGGGTGGGTCGCGGCGGGCGACGAGTGAAGGGGGGGGAGGCGGGCGACGAGCCAGGAGCCGGGGGGGAGGGGGGTTGGGAGGGAGTTAAAACTTAGTGGCTAGGTGTGTTTTAGGGAACTTTTAAAAGATAGATAGTTCAGTGTAACGCGCTCAAGAAGAATGTCGAAATGGAATGCACTCGAACGGCCGCAGAACAAGGCTTCTTTTAATATTTTTCCACCGTATATCTTACTTTCAAACTGGCATCCCACGTGAAACATACCTGTTTCCACCATATTACCTATCCGCACGTGTGGATCATAATCATAAAGCGCGTAAATATAGACGCAAGACTGCGGCTTTTAAGAGTGTTTTTTTCTCAAAAACAGTGTACCA